AAGTTGCAAAATTTGGTATCTCAGTTGCAAAATACTGGAACGTTGTCCTAAAAGATTTAACTCTTCTACGAATTTAATAGTTCTTCGATCCACAATTTCAACTATCAGTTGCAAATTATTCCTAAGAAAGTTGTAAAATTTGATATCTCAGTTGCAAAATATTGGAACGTTATTCTAAAAGATTTAACTCTTCTATGAATTTAATAGTTCTTCGATCCACAATTTTGAGTACCAGTTGTAAATTTTTGCTAAGGACGTTGCCAAATTTGTTGACATGTCCCTTGCCACATTTTTCATCTTATTTTTATTCTCATTTTGGCTTATTTTCATTCACTTTTCCAGCTCATTTAAGATCTGGACCTTCCTTGTTTTTATCGCCATCTACTTTGATTTTATTGCCACTCACATTTTCCACACATACTTAATCCTTCATTTTTCATTTTAGCTTCATTCCTTCACTTCTCTTCAGATTTTCTAAATTTTTCCCTCTTCATTTTCTCTCAATTTTCATCCATTTTTCACCACCATTTTTCCAAATTTGTTTCTTCATTTTCTCTCATTCATATTCATGTCAAGTGTCATTCCTTTTCCTAATCCAGATTTCATCTATTGATTCTTCTTCATCTAGCTTGCATTTTGTCCAGCCTCATTATCACATTTCTAGATTGATCTTCTTCATCTTCATTCATCCATAGAAGCTTCTCAAGCTCAAGAACTCAACCAAGTGATGGAAAGGAGCATGAGTGGCTAATTTTTCATTGAGCTCCATGAAAGATGAACTTGTGATTTGAGATTTTTATATTTGTTTTCCTCACTTTATTTTCAATTCTACAATTTCTTCTACTCTTCTTATAGATTCAAATTTCAATGGTTGTTATGTTAGTGATTTTTTATTCCATTTTCTTAGTAGATTGAAGTTGTGGATGTTGAATTAAGATTTATAATTGTGTTTCAGTTCTGGAATTTATGAATTCATTTGAATGTTCTTGAATGTGTTTATATGTTCTTGGTGTTCTTATTCAGATTTTTACTATGTCTTATGCCAGATCCATATAGGTTCATATGTATTTGGTTTAAGAAGTTTTTCCACCACTTAATTTGGTCTGAATTTAATAGCTATGAATAAGGCTGAATCAAATTATTAATTTCAATTCACTTGGCTTAAATTCTTTAGTGATTATTGGATTCAATGATTCACAATACTTTGAAAGTTTTAGAGTTCTTCATTAAGCTAATTGTTGTTACATGTGTGGTTGTAAATCTAGAATTCAAGGATTATTACAAGAGATTCTAACTTGGGCTTACCATATCATTCATTCATATCATTACATTAAAATATGAAATTATAAACATTTAGTTCTTGCATTTGTAGACCTAGCGGAACCATTCTTCATTATTTTAACTTGTTGGCAATTGGACTAAAAATTTCTATGCATTGCTCCCTTGGGAGATGACCCAGAATGCTTCCAACTACATTCTAGTTTTTATTGATGACCTAAAGCATTTAAGGCTTTCATCAATAGGACTTAGTGGATCTAATTCATGGCTAGACAATAATGAATCTCACTTAATTAGACCATAAAAGCTACACATTACATTGTGAGTCATTCCATGCCTGAATTAGAGTGATCCACATGTGTTTTGGCAGCTAAGTATGGGAAGTGCCTTGGAGATGCTTTTATCTTCTAATTCACACTTGAATACACTTTGTGCTCATGCTTGAATTGTCTAATGTGTCATCTTGAGTATGCCTTAGTGACATTTTTGTTGAAAATTATGCCGTAGGGCCAATCATTGTACTATGCACATTATTATTTAATGAATTTCTCTTTTATTATCATATCAATTGCATGTTCACTATGATAACTATATCCTTAAACAAACTATAGAGATTGTCCTAAATATCCTTGGTCGATCATCTATGAGGGATCATAGATGAAATAAGACTAGTATGTCTTTAATTAATTATAGAGATAAATATTAAAGTTGTAGGCACTTAAAAGAGTATAAGGTGCTGGACTGACCTGCTATGAAAAAGTTGCATAGTATAAGTCATAAGCTTATCTCATATGTAACCATATCACTAAGCCTTTTGACCTAAGATCATTATAGATTCCTATATAATGACCACTGAACTTTGACCTAGTCAAAAGTCACCTTTGACTGGGTGATCATAAAGGCTATGATTGAGTTTAGTGATATTCATGCAGAAGAATATAAGTGGTCAAGATGGAATTTGTCCCTCATATTAATTGAGAGATATTATTGGGCCCCTTGATGAGTAAGACTGAGAAAATTATATGGCCATATTATAATGGAAAGGGTTTTTTTCCATTGCTTTAGTCAGTCTACTCAGAGATCGAGAAAGTAATGGTCAGGTAAAGGAGAATGACAATTTCATGTCTCATACTTAACCGAAATATCATGTGACAAAAGGGATGTGATATGATTATATGATAGATTACATCGGATCATCGATCCCCATATGAATTGGGTAGTTGCAATGTCTTGCTAGAGGCCACTTGTGACTTGTAGACTAATAGCTTAATTAGTCTACTAACAACTTTATATGGGCCTACACGATCGCACACAAGAATAGCCCAACTCGAGTTATAATGTCAAAGTTCATTGAATTTGGAATATGTCTAGATTCAATGAATGTAATACAGGAAGAACTAATTATATATATATAAATATATTTGAATATTTATTTGATAAATATTATATTATATTATTTATGTTAGTTTTAAATTTCACTTTATGTGATAGATTAAATTTAATAACTAACATGATATGAGAAAATATCATATCAGTTTTATAATTTGAATTTATAAGATAAATTCAAATTAGATATGATATTATAGATTTTATTTATGAGATAAATTTAATGTAATATTTTCGTTGGCCCATTAAATGAAGGCAAAAACACTAATCTATATATAATATAGAATGGGGATGTGTTAGGTTAAGGTTTTGAGAGTTAAAAAAGTTCTAATGGCCAAATACTTTGAGAGCCACGAAACATCCTAAAGAAAAGAAAACCGACATTTAAAGACGAACGAACATTGAGAGAGCTAGCATGTTATTCAAGTTAGAAAGATGTTCGTGTAGATACCAGTAAAGGGAGCAGATTTACGTTGTCAGCTCTTGAGATTTAATTACTTGCAAACAACACGTGAGGAGCCAAAATTAAAAGGTAATTCTTTTTCTACCTTGACTTAAATGAGTTCATTCTGTCAACATTAGGATAGGGATTTAAATTTTTTTTATCTTTCGTTGCACCTCCCTATCCAACAATTTCATGCTTGAATTAGAGTGATTCATGCTTGAAATGTAATCTACCCATTTTGAGTTCAAGTTTGACTTTAGAAAGCCTTTAAACCAAACAAGCCAAATCAAGTTTGTTTTGGAATGTTTTGAGTATGTTTCATCATTCAAAGAAGCTAGGTGCTTCTGTTATCCATTCCATGCTTGAGAACTATTGGTACTCATATGTGATTTGTCACAAAAAGCTAGGATTTTTTACCATCTAAATCACACTTGAGAGCAATATAGGCCTATGCTTGAAATGTCATGAGTGAACCAAAGCAAATTGTACAAGCTCCATTCCACACGTGGATAGAACCATTTCACACTTGAAATGGATTCCAAGACTACATTAAATGCTTCGTAGGAAAAGTGACTTTTTTTATGTTCTTCACTCGTACATGTCTCTAATGATTATAATCTTTTTCATAAGTATTCCTAATAGGCTAAACCATATAAAACTATACATAGGACCCCATTTAAATTAGTTGGTAATCTTGAGAACACATTTATTGAGCATTAAGTGTCTACATTCATTTCTTACCAACTTATTGATAGTTTTATAAAAAAGCTCTCATAAGTTTATAAGCCGTCATTCTAATTTATATACTCTTTTTAAAGAGTCTTTTGTGAAAGCTTTATTTGTTTTACTTGAGCTAAAATCTTAGAAAAAGGGTTTTCTAAGTGTATTGTAACAACTTGCTGATATAACAAGTATTGTTGTTGAATCAAGGCTAGTATTGTCTTGACGGTTGTACTATTGTGGCAAAAACCCATTGAAGCTTGTGATTATAGTTAAAAATTTTAAAGATTGGACTTAGGCCAAGTGGTTAGGCTAAACAAGGATAAATCCTTTATGTCAAGCTTTTCTTCTCATGTTCTTAAATATTCAATTTTTTGTCTTGCATTCTCTTAGGTTAAGAAAAAGTCTAGAAAAATCTTTGAACACACAATTCACGCCCCTCTTAGGTGTCATCCTTATCCAACATTTGATATCAAAGCTTGGTCTCTTGATTTTAGACTTAACAATCTAAGAGGATCTTATGGCTGGTTTTGGTTATAATGTTCTTCATAAGGATGCTAAGATCAACAGGCCTTCAAGATTCAATGGTAAAAAATATACATTTTGGAAGAGCAAAATGAGATTGTTATTTAAGGCATTTGATCTAGATTTTTAGGGATTGTCAAGAGAGATCCCCACATTCCACTCAAAGTTATTGATAGAGAGCAAGTAAGAAAAGGTAGAAGTGAATTCACTAAGAAGGAAGAAAAGCTAGTGCTATTAAACTCTAAGGCTAGACTAATCATTGCAAGTGCATTGAGCCAACAAGAGTATTTTTGGGCGAACAATCTTAATACTGCTAAGGAAATATGGGATGCTCTTGAAATAGCTCATGTAGGCATAAAAAGGGTAAAGGAGAACAAGAAGAGCTTACTAACTCAATACTATAATCTTTTCAAGACAAAGCCTAAGGAGAATATCAAGGAGATGCAAATTAGATACACCCATATGATGAATGAGCTTGTTGTACTTAGGAAGACTTATCCACAGAAAGAGGAAGTTAGAAAAATCATGAAAGCACTTCCTATAGAATGGCAACCAAAGATCATTCATTGAAGAGACAAAGAGTAAATTAATGAGATCTATTGCTACCTTATTTGATTGCTTAGCCAAGCATGAAGGCAAGCTGACCATGTTGAAGGAAGACACTGAGAAGAAGAAGAAGTCACTTGTACTTAAGGCTTCAAAGGAAGATTCTGACTTTAATTCAAGTGATAATGATTACTCTAATGAGAAAATGGCCATGTTTGTCAAGAAATTTGACATATTCTTTAGGAAGAAAAAGTTCAATAAAAGTTTCCCAAAAAAGGAATATAAAAAGGAGAAGAAGGATAAAGAGATTACATGCTTTAAGTATAAAAAGTCAGACCATATCAAGGTTAATTGTCCCTTAGCCCAAGAGAGCAAGAGCTACAAATATGAAAAAAAGAAATTCAAAGCATATTTCTCTTCTATATGGGGTGATAGTGATAAGGATTCTAAAGCAGAGGAAGCAAATATTTGGCTTATGGCCAAAAATTATGAGGAAAAGGTATATGATTCTAACTCTAGCTCTTAGTTTGATTTCACTTTTAAGGAATTGAAATTTGCATTTAAGGAACTGCATAGTGAGTCTCTTCATCTTGTAAAAGATCTCGTTTAAACCAAGAAGAGGCTTGCATCTTCTCAAAAAGAAAATGCGTGTTTAAAAATTGAGAATGGATCCTTGAAAATCAAGTTATTAGCTTTAGAAATGAGACTCAAACTCATTGTGTTGACTACAAATTGCATGTTTATAAAAAAAGAGGACTTAAAAAATACTCTTGTGAAATTTGTTAAAGGTAGGGTAGATTGAAAATTCATCTTGACTAATTTTCTTAAATATTTTTTCAAAATTCTAATTTTATGACCAAAATGCCCTTAGTACACAGAATCCTACACTTAGACAATTTTTCACAATAAGTGTGCAATTTAGTAAATAGAACATGATTTTTTATCAATAATAATAAGAAAAAGTGTGTAGTAAATGTGACTTATCATAAGGACAACTTGAATATGATATTAAGTCAACAAAGAAGTGTTAGATATACTGCTCACCCAAGAGGAAGTGAATTGGGTGTCTTTTGATTTTTCACCTAAAGCTCTTGACCATAGAAACTTGGAATATGGATGTTGATAGGATAAACGGAGTTGATTAAGATGAGAGAGATAGCGAGCAATACACAAGGAATTTATCCTGGTTTAGCCCAATCCACTTGGCCTACATTTAGTCCCTAGGAACCTCCTAAGATTTTTCACTATAACCACAAGTTCGATCCGGGCACTTGTGAAGCCATAGTACAATCTCAGACTTAACGTCTATATCACTCTCCTGTGCAAAAATTCCATAAGTTTGATCCAAGCATTTGTGAAGCCACTTATAATCTTTTAAACTTACAAGTTTATTTCTCTCCCCCTTCCAAAGGTAATTTTAACACCCACTTAAGATTCCCTAATCTTAAGTCTGCTTAAATAAATAATAGAGACAATTTGATCACAAAGTGATCCTAATACAAACTAACTTATTCAGTAGATGAATACATTGAGGTACGATAATATTGAAGATAAAAGCAGAGGAGTTGAGAGTATTGAATATCACAGCTCGCGCACAATTACTTCTCTGCTTCGATCTTCATAGATGAGTCCTTTTATAGTTGGAGTTCATAAATGATCCGTTAGACTTGTTAAAATAGCTATCGGAATAGTCTCCTTCTCTCTTTAGTGTCTTACAGAGTGTCCATTAGACACAATCACTTTTTCATTTCTCTTCGATCTTTAACATTGTAGGTTTGTAGCTTTACAATGGTATTATTACCCGAAAAGGATAGTAGGAAATAGTAGCTTTACAGATGGATTTATGTGTTGGAGACAAAAGCAAATATAATGGCATTTATGCATTTAATATTCTGACAATATTACCATTGAGATGAATAGGAGAAAAATGATAGGAATATGGATATTGGAACAATCAAGAAATGTTTAATCCATCTAGAGGTTGTGTTTAAAAGAAATCTAAAATAGGTAAGAATATTAACACAACACTTAGATTATGAAAAGATTTAGTAACAAGAGAGATTAAAAACTTATAAGATGTGGAATGAAAAATAGAGCATATTTCTTCATGTTTATACTGGAATAAATGTTCTTGTTCAGGAATAGTAAAGGACAAAACAGTTAAATGCACATGATTAGCTCTCTTGGATTATCTCTCTTATGTTGGAATAAGTTTACACATATGATGATCTAAAGAGCTTTATTTGGGAACACAAAAAGCTATCCAAATACGAGTTACATGTTCCTGTGTAACTAAATGTATTTTGGAATATGAAGAATGTACAAGAACAAGTTGTTCACACAGAAGCTTTCAGACTTTAAATTGTTTGATTCTGAGAGTAGTTGAAATACTTTTTAGACATTAGAAATGGTCCTTGAGAGATTAAGATCAAGTCAAAACTTAATCTTTGGAAAGGAACTCAATTAGATCAAACATAGATTAAGCTTTTGAGTTTCTTAATAATATGGGAATAGGGGATGATGAAAAATTATCATTAAGAGTTTAATCCTAGCCAAAGTTGTGTTTAAAAAGATTTTAAAAAGGTTATAAGGTTAACACAACTCATAGAGAGTGAAAGGAATTGAGTTTTGAAGAATTCATAATCAAACACGAAGAACAAAGCATGAAAAATGATGTTTATACCAAAATAAGTGAGATTATATGATAAGAGATCGTTTGTACTTGTATAAGAGAGTTCTATACTGATAAAAGACAAGGCTAAACTCAAAAATGAAGGTTTGTACCAGTATAAAGGGCATTGTACTATAATATGGAAGAGTTATATGGTTTATACTGGAATAACGGATACAGTTACAGAATAAAATATGGGTCAACTTGTAATGGTCATAACTATTTCATTTTTAAGTCCAAATCAGGAAAATGACCAATGGTTGGAAAGCCCTAGATGTATAGTTTCCAAAAGAATCAGACCTACTCTAAAATCCAAAGTATGTTGAGAGATATGATCAAAAAGGTGAGCAAAGGTCAATGACGTTTTTTCTGACATATTGGAGGCTTCAATAGCCAACTTTGAAAACTCATAACAATTTCATATAAAATCCATTTTAAACTAAATTAAGTTCTTTGGAAAGATGTACAAGTCTATTTTCAAATAAAATAATTTTCACATCAATCTCATTTGTACATTAAGAGATATATAGAAAATACTGAATAAAGGTCAAAACTATATAACTCTAAAACTCTCAAGTCAAAATTATAAACTTCAAGTATTAATAACATAACTCCACTTTGAGTAAATATAACTTTTGAGAAACTTTATAAAGTTAGTTTTCAAATAATGTTTAAGAGAAAACATTTTCAAATTATGTGAGATATAAATGATTAAAAACAAGATCAAGGTTATATCTCACTATTTATTTTAAAACAAGAATGTGTGTTAAGATTTAAAACAAATGAAAATAAAAACAATGAGTTTAACATAAAAATTTGAAAGCCTAAAGATATTATACTCATCCATATCAAGGCTATGGTTGATCCAAGCTTGTATGTCTTCATTTACTTAAGCTTCTCTTGGATTGCCTTTCTCTTCATTTTTATGTTTTTCATTCTTGAGTGAAGCATGCTAATGATAATAATGGCTTTCTCTTCATGCTCACTCACATTGGATAACCTTCAATAATATATCATGAATAGTGGTTAGTCCAAGTATTAATATGCATGGGAATAAATATATACGATATTATGTCATGCATGCATTTATTTAATTAATTTATTTGTCATTTTCAAAATTTAAGCTAAACATAGTGTCATAATATATTATGTCTAATAAGAAGTATATATGATAAAGCTAGAGCAAAAGTTTGGGTTACAAGCTAAAGCTAAAGCAAAAGTATTGTAAAAACTTTTTTGTGCTTGTCGCTATGACTAACTGACTCAATTTCACTTATTCTTATTGTAATGAGAAGGACATATGACTAAGTCATGTATTCATAGAAAACATGGGTTGAGTGAAAAATATGAAGTAGGTTCCAATAATCAATTCATACCAAATACAATTGCTATAAAAGAGTCCTAAAAAATGATACACCTATCAAATAAGGTAAAAGAATAACCACACAAGGATAAGTGTTTCTCTCTCTCTCTCTCTCTCATGTAAGTGTATGGTTTCTATTCACTCATTACCACTTGTAAACTGACCCCACTATAGGCTTGTACTCCCCTACCTCTCCAATAACTCAAAAATAGTGTGGAAGTTAGAATCATTTGGACTTTTAAGGGTATATAGAATGATATGGATGATGAAGGTAAGACTCAAGTAAATGCATTATCCCTTTCAAGTATAAACCAATGCAAAAGTAAGGTTCTATTTGCAAATGGTTAAGTACATAACATAGCATGAAAATACAATCAAAGAATAGGAATTAAATGAATACTTCAAACCATTTATTCCTTCTTTACTTTTGTTTCTCTTCTCTCTTTTTCTCTTCCTTTTTCTAAGACTTTTTCTCTTGATTTTCTTCTTTCTTCTTTTCTTTTCAAATGTTTCTATCTTTCTTTATTCTCTATTTCTTTCATTCTTTTTTTTTTTCATTTTCTTCAAATTTTTCCTTTCTTATTTTTTCTATTTTTTCTTTTTATTTCTTTTGTTATCCTTTTTCTTGGTTTTCAAGTATCTAATAAGTATATATAGGTAATATGACATAAAACATTTGTGAAAAAGGATCAGACTTCTCAAAAAATTCAATAGGTCCATAGTATTACATATCAAACATTCCTATCATACTTCCAAACATTGCATCCACAAGTAAAAGAATACCTTGCATTTGAGTCACTTTAGGGATGGTGATGGATGCATCTTGAAACATGGAAATGAGATGGAATTTTGGAATAGTGAAGGCTCAAAGGGTTAGCAAAGTAGGTTAAATTGTCATAGGTAAGTCTTTTATGAAAGAAGTGCAAGGAATGGTTTCCAATTAGAAGGCATAAATCATGTTCTACAAGCATACTTATGTAGCCTCGGTTAAGGTAAAAAATACAAGTTCCAAAGGGCCAAATATACATGTGGGAATACACAATAGAAATGAAATAGGCATGGAGGCTCAAAGTATTCTTCCAACAAGGTTATGTTATCTCTCACACATAGAGATAGATGCAAAATTTAATCCAACCCTAACACTCAAACACTTAAGTGTTCGCATGTCAAGTCAAAAGGGCAATCTTTTCCAAGCTTTTCCTCCTAATGACTTCTAAAACAAAACATTTTATTGATTTTGAAATCAAAACTCAAGCATGCTTCAAATTTTTTTCCAAAAAATGCAAATGCAAATGAATGCAATCCTAATTCCTTCCCTTATACTTAAAACTTGCATTTCCTCAATACAAACAAGACTAAAGATATGGCAAGGTATTGATAAAACACATTTTGTTAATAATTTATTACCTTCAAGTGCACACATTGCATTAGATTTGGAATTTTGCCTAAGCTTTAGGTTTAATGC